CTAAAACTATATCTTGAGCTTGTGAGACCTCACCTGGATTACGCAGTTCACTTTTGGTCACCGAACTACAGAATGGATATAGAATCCCTTGCAAGAATTCAGAGGAGAATGACAAGACTAATCCCAGGCATTAGGAACCTTGAATACAGAGACAGATTAAAGCATCTTAATCTGCACTCCCCCAAGAGATAGAGTGAGGGGCGATATGATCGAGGTGTATAAATGGAAGTCAGGGTTAAAAAAAGGTGATATAACCAGGAACGAACTCTTAGCAATGGTTTTAAATTAGACAAATTTAGATTTAGGCGCGAGAAAGGTAAACATTGGTTTGGAAATAGAGTAGTGGATGAGTGCAACAAGTTACCAAATATCATCATTAACTCGAATACGCTGGATAGCTTCAAACATAGGTTGGTTGGATATATAAGCGATAGGAGTTGGGTATAAATAACACTGCCCAGTATGGGTCAATAGGCCCGCTGCAGTTTTCTCCAGTCTTATGTCCTTATATGTAACAGTGTGGCGATTGTTAATGTTAGATTATTGTTGGTTGTTGGTGTTTCTTGTCTATATATTTTATACTCCAACATCGTCTTGACTACTCCTCTCTATAAATATGTATGTGTGTATGTAAGTATGTTTGTATGCAATCTGTTTATATACTGTATATATACATACATATATATATATATGAAAGTTATCATTTGTTATATGAGTGATTCAAATGAACAAAATTTAACCAATAAGAGTTCATATATGCAGTGTTGGTTACACAGACATCTCGCAGTACATGACATTGAGACGGTTCCCGAGTGTGAAGTGTGAACCCCACAGAGTTTTTGTGTCGCCCTTCAGACCAACACCACCTGGCTCCTGTCGTATCATTTATATTTTCCTTCAGACAACAGTACAGTATATAAGTTTAGTAAGTAAAAGGAATCAGGAGATTTTTTACCAGGAGTTTATCTAAAGACGTCGTTAACAAAAGTATTATTTACGAAGAATCAAAATATAGGAAATTGTCACCCAAACTTCTTTATACATTCATTTATATAAGAATTAACCTGTTGCACCTGGGCTGGAGTTAAAAAAAATAGCAACACGATAGAGAAAAATATTTAGTAGTTATTAATAATAAGGTACTATAGATCATGTTTCCTTAATGTCAAAATCTATTGATATCGAGAGATTAATATAACGAGTTTGGAGAGTCAGGTGCAGGTCTTGTGCTGTATTGGTACATAACTCTAAAATCACTGTTTTCGATTTTTATACAACTGACTTTACGACTTCCAGTGATGTTGAGGTCCCCGCAGTGGAGTTCAAGTTGAGGATTTATGGCAGCGGGTGTCTCAGTGCAGGCCGCCCATAAACCACCCACATTTGGGATAGATAGAGGCGATGGGTGAAGGGAGTTTGTCTTGTATCACAGAATGTTATGTTAGTGGGGTGTGGCTCTGAGTAAATACAGACATATAACGAAAAAACACAATTTACATAATTTTTGTCTCTATGGTCAATTCAATAATATATAAAATGTTGTAATGATGGATCTGAGTGACACCTTTACCTGCCTGCCTCTCTTATTGCATTCTCTCTCCCACACCTGTTGCTTTCACACCTTCCTTACCTTACTTATACCGCCCCTGTGAGTGATTAGAACTTTGTCTTTATGCAGAATCTATATAATAGTTTATTACACCAACGCTGTTTTTTTTCTCTCCAACACAACCCCCAGATGTACTCCTCCTGGTCACCCGTTCAACACCCCTTCAAAATACACCTCATTACCTCCTTCAACACCCCCTCAAAAGTGTACACCTTATCACCCACTTCCTCCTTCCCCTCCCCCACTACACAATGTCCTCCCACCCATCAACCTCACTACCATTGCCTAGGTTTATTGATTTGCTCTTTTGTTCTTTATCTACTTCCCTGTTTTCCTTCTCTCCACCCAGACATGTTTGTGCCATTATTGCTTCACTGTGTCCACCTCTTTATCGTTCATGAAGTTTTATCTATATGTCGATTCACGTTTTTTTTTTAAACAATAATTTTGGGTTTGTTTACGTTAAGGCAACTCCAGGGAAAATTATACAATATTACTGAGTGAACGTGATACCGTACTGTACGTCTCTTAGTGAGTCTTGGAGATGGAGATTGTGAGCCTTGGAGATAATGATTCTCTGAGATAATGAGCCTTGGAGATGGTTAGCCTTGGAGATAGTGAGTCTTGGAGATGATCAGCCTTGGTGATGGTGAGCCTTGGAGATAATGATTCTCTGAGATAGAGAGCCTCTAGATCGCTTAAACTAACGATACAGACTACACAGGCCATCAACCTCTGCACTTTTATACGAGTTATATTAATAAGTCAGTGAGGATGGTGTGTTGTACCTACAGGCAGGTATACAGGTTGTCCCAGAACAATCTCCCTTCCTCCCTCCTTCCCTCCCTGCCTGCCTGTTCCCTGCCTCCCCCCCTGCCTGTTCCCTGCCTCCCCCCCTGCCTGCCTGCCCCTGCCTGCCTGCCTCTACCTGCCTCCTCCTGCCCTCCTCCCTGTCTGCCTGCTACCTGCCCTCCTCCCTGTCTGCCTGCTACCTGCCTCCTCCTGTCTGCCTCTGCCTCCCCTGCCTGCCTGTTCCCTGCCTCCCCCCTTCCTGCCTGCTACCTGCCCTCCTCCCTGTCTGCTTACCTGCCTCCCTCCCTGCCTGTTCCCTGCCTTCCCCCCTGCCTGCCTGCCACCTGCCCTCCCGCCTGCCTGCCTGCTACTTGCCCCCCTGCCTGCCTGCTACCTGCCCTCCTACCTGCCTGCCTGCTACCTGCTCTCCTCCCTGCCTGCCTGCTACCTGCCCTCCTCCCTGCCTGCCTGCTACCTGCCCTCCCCTACCTGCCTGCCTGCTACTTGCCTCCCCCTGCCTGCCTGCTACCTGCCCTCCCTACTACCTGCCTGCTACCTGCTCCCTCCCCTGCCTGCCTGCCACTTGCCTCCCTCCCTGCCTGTTCCCTGCCCTCCTCCTGCCTGCCTGCTACCTGCTCTCCTCCCCTGCCCTGCCTGCTACCTGCCCTCCTCCCCTGCCTGCACCTGCCCTCCCCTACCTGCCTGCCTGCCACTCCCCTGCCTGCCTGCTACCTGCCTCCTACCTGCCTGCCTGCTACCTGCTCTCTCCCTGCCTGCCTGCCTGCTACTTGCCCTCCTACCTGCCTGCCTGCTACTTGCTTCCCTGCTGAAGATTAAATCCACCTACAGTTTATTTCAGCTGTTGGTTAACTCCCCTAATGCTAACCTGACTTAACCCTAGCTAACCTAACCTAACCTAACCAAACTTAACCTAACCTAAAACCTACTCGTCATGTCCCTAAGAGTGTTTAATCATCAGGTGAAATAAGCTGTAGGAATGGAACTAATCTTTAACTGATACCGATATTTTTTTTCAACTTGCATAAACTTACGTCGCAATAACCTAAAGCTATACTAAACTGTTTGTGTATTTTCCATAGAGTTTAATACAGTTTAGCGTCGCAGTGAAATGTGATGTTGGTATACCGGAGACTTTATGTTTTTTGTGTATGTAAAGATAGGAACATCAGTGGTACTACTGTATATAAGGAACAGGTAGGGAGGGAGGTAGGGAGGCAGGCAGGGAGGTAGGGAGGCAGGCAGGGAAGGAGGGAGGCAGGCAGGGAAGGAGGGAGGACATTTTGTTGTGATATTTTTTACTCGTGGAATGTTAAGTGAGAATTTGTAGAATAATTGTAATGAGAGAGGTGATAAAGAGGATACAGGAAAGACTTGGTTAAAAAAGTTGGAAGAAGATTAGGAATGTGAGGAGGAAGAGAAAGAAGGCGTTAGAAGAAGAATGGAGAAAGAATGTGAGAGAAAGGTGGAGGTAAGAAGATCATTAAGAGATTATAGAGAAAAACAGAAGAAATAGAACTGAATGTTAATGTAGTAAAATGAAGAAAAGAAGAAGGTAGTGATGATGGGAACTAAGGAGCCAGCCGTCACCAGAGAACATAAACCAGCGGAGGAGGTAGTGTCTGGCCCAGTAGTAGGGGGACGGCTACACCCTTGGCTGTACTCGGGGTAAACTCACACCCACCTGCGCACGATCTAATTCCCTGTACAGAGCATCTCTCGCCCGGTACCACGCACCACCGACAATCAAGCAGGAACAAAAAAAAAAGAAACAAAAAAGCGGTGCGTTATGAGCGCGGGACGGCAGAGTGTGGGAACGTCCACGCGCGACGTCCCTCAGTTAGTCTTAATTTTTAGACACTTTTAATTATTCATTGTACGTCTCTTAATATATCGTTGAGTATGGACCTCGGTCATCTCCAGGCTGGTGGCCACGTAGCTCGTCGTCTGCCTCTTCTGTCAAATATTACTACTGTAGATATCATTAATTACCGACTGACAATGATTTCAAGAGTAAGGAAAGAAGGTAGTGAAGGAGCTTTAACGGGGTTGAGGTGAGCATCGCACATAGCAGATTAGTTCCGCTGATAGTTCTCCCTGAAGGTGGCGGTGGTCCCGGGCAGCGCGGCGTGGGAACCCTCGCCCTCCACGCCCCCACGCCCACAATGCTTACTCAAGGGGGGCGCTGCCAAGGTATTGTTGTGGAGCGAGTAGAGGAACGTGTCATTGCATGTGGTCTTGTAACAACAAACCTGGAGTGAGAATGTTTTGTCATAAATAAAAAAAAAGTAAAAAAAGCCCCGTAAGTCATGCGTGTCGAGACTCGAAGATAATAATCCACGTGCACTTCTTCGACAGGGTCAGTAGAGCCTCCTACACGCCCAACTGCCAGTCACGAGGCTCCTACATCCCCTCCCGCTTTGTGAGTTCCACCAATCATGGTCGCTGTTTCATCGTTGCTCCGCCCTCTTCGAACCTGAGCCAGTAGCACTGCGTCTCGGCAGCCAATAGTCGGCCCCTTGTGCCCCCGGCAAGACTCTCGCCTATAAAACCAGGCCGATCTCGCTCAGCGATCAGACCCACTACCTCAGCAGTATGGAGCGTACATCAGTGTTAGCGGCACGGCCCGACCCGTCTACCCTCGGTGCCAAGTTTACGCCTGGAACTCTGGGATCAGCGTTTACTCCATTATCTCGAGTGCCACCCGCCTTCCCGCTGTTCCAGTCATTACCATTTTTGCATCAAGTGCCACCTACCAGTGCTAAACAACACGCTCCCCTTGGTCTTGAATCAAGACTGATGGGGATGCTGCAAAATTACGGATCTATGCCTCTGGGTCAGCTGCCGTGGGCGGCTCTGGGTGCTGGCGACCTGGCCCTCAACCGTCTCCTGTTGACTCCTGGAGGCCGCCTCAGCCGACCCAAGAAGCGCTACATCTGCAAGTATTGTCAACGGGAGTTTACCAAGAGCTACAACCTGCTGATCCACGAGAGAACACACACGGACGAGCGGCCCTTCCCCTGCGACATCTGCGGCAAGGCCTTCAGGAGACAAGACCACCTCCGCGACCACAAGTACATCCACAGCAAGGAGAAGCCCTTCAAGTGTGAGGTGTGTGGCAAGGGGTTCTGTCAGGCGCGCACCCTGGCCGTCCACAAGGCCCAGCACGCCCACGACTCCACCCCGCCCACGCCCATCCTCACACCCACTTCACCACGTATATCTCCCGCCCTACCTACCTGTGACTCCCATGATACTGACGAAGTGGTTGACGTGCTTCACTGTGACGATGACGACGTGGTAGAAGACGACGTGATGCAAACAGTGACAGAGGAGGACGAGGAGCTGCCTGTGGTAGTGCCACCTCCCAAGAGACTCGGCTTCTCCATCGCCGACATCATGAGAAGATAGAGGTAGTGCACCCTTTCTCCCCCCTACCCAGTGCCATGTCCCCCACCAAGCTTTAATTATTATGTACAACTGCTGCATATTGTGGCTCTTATTATGTTGAATATTATGTGTATTAAATTTGTATGATTTATGTTTATTAAAAAATCTTGAATGTTTACGTATTGTATTGTTAACCCCAAGTAACTGATGAATGTTAACAGTGAAAATAACCCAATGCTTCAATGTATACAAATGATATTTTTATCTTTGTTAATAGAGGAGACTTGAGTTGATGGTGAATAACTGGTGAAAAAGGTGAGAAAAAACATGATAAAGGAGAATGAAGACAGATTACCACACAAGAAACTTAATTATAACTAATAACACCTCGGAAGATTATTAATATATCCAATGAAGGTTCAACAAAACGCCTCAAAAGATGTTCTATTGATTGAAAATGTTGGTCAGACTTTTCCTGTGCATAAAGTTAAGTGTTATTGAAAGAGAAGAAATATTCCTGACCATAATGTTGTCAGCAGCCATGCTCACACAGCTAACACACACTGCTGGTTGGTAGATATAACAGTAATGATAACATAATGCAATGAAAAATAGTTGTAGCAATAATGATACGATCATTGAGCTAACAGTTATAATGACTATATTAATGCTAGTAATGATGACAATAAATCTTAACAATGATGATGATAATAATACCAGTAATTATAATATAACAATGGAAGTTCAGATCACTAACAATTGCTTATGGTGATAATTATGGACGACGTCACGTGTTGTTGTGTGACAAAAACATCACCACCTAACCTCACTTCTCATTACCAGGTCTTGCATATAATTGAAGCATGTCATATTAATAATGACCCTAATTTAATTATTTTCCCATTTAATATTAATGAAAGACATACAGGGTATCTAAAACAAATATATATACACACTGCTTCACATATTTTCATGGAGTTCTTTTGTATAACTTCAAGATTGTCCTCAAACGTCATGGGAGATGTCGCTCAATGTTGACTGTATTCAGGTGATCTCCACGAAAGTCTGTATTGCAATGTGTATCATCCACAAGGAGTTAATAATTTGTTAGCTGGTTAAGTACATCTAAATACTGTAGAGAGGTTGGGAACATACTTTATAATGTGGCCATAGAATACATTTGCTAGACCTTCAACTCGGACAACAACACACATAACTTTCACTCGCTTCATCACATAACACCCAGTGAGTGATCAGAGAACCAGGGCACACTAACTCTTAACTCTCCTTCTGCCTGATTATCCATGAGCACCGAATCTTGGTGTATATTGACTCACCTGACACTCCTCCCTACCTCCTGACACACTTCCTTACCTCCTGACATCCCTTGACATTCCTCCTTACCTCCTGATATCCCTTGACACACCTCCCTACCTCCTGACATCATTTGACACACCTCCCTACCTCCCGACATCACTTGACACACTTACCTACCTCCTGACATCATTTGACACACCTCTCTACCTCCTGACATCACTTGACACACCTCTCTACCTCCTGACATCACTTGACACACTTACCTACCTCCTGACATCATTTGACACACCTCCCTACCTCCTGACATCCCTTGACACACCACCTTACCTCCTCACATCCCTTGACACACCTCCTTGGCACACATCCTATCATCCCTTGGCACGCCTCCTGACATCATGACATCACTTGTCACTCCTCCTTACCTCCTGACATCACTTGACACACCTCCTTACCTCCTAACATCACTTGACACACCTCCTTACCTCCTGACATCACTTGACACACCTCCTTACCTCCTGACATCACTTGACCCACCTCCTTACTAACATCACTTGTCACTCCTCCTTACCTCCTGACATCACTTGACACACCTCCTTACCTCCTGACATCACTTGACCCACCTCCTTACCTCCTAACATCACTTGACACTCCTCCTTACCTCCCATCACACTCCTCCTTACCTCCTGACATCACTTGACACACCTCCTTACCTCCTGACATCACTTGACACACCTCCTACATCACTTGACCCACCTCCACCTCCCATCACTTGACACACCTACCTCCTAACATCACTTGACACACCTCCCACCTCCTTCCTCCTGACATCCACATCACTTGTCACTCCTCCTTACCTCCTGACATCACTTGACACACCTCCTTACCTCCTAACATCACCTGACACACCTCCTTACCTCCTGACATCACTTGACACACCTCCTTACCTCCTGACATCACTTGACCCACCTCCTTACCTCCTAACATCACTTGTCACTCCTCCTTACCTCCTGACATCACTTGACACACCTCCTTACCTCCTGACATCACTTGACCCACCTCCTTACCTCCTAACATCACTTGTCACTCCTCCTTACCTCCTAACATCACTTGTCACTCCTCCTTACCTCCTGACATCACTTGACACACCTCCTTACCTCCTGACATCACTTGACACACCTCCTTACCTCCTGACACCCATTGAACCAGTCCCTCACTAGTGCCATTACATACTGTTTCCATCTACTCATTAAGAAGCAAAAGTCTTGTGAAATTGAGAAAAATAGTTAAAATTTAAACTAAAAAAAACCAGTTCTTCGGTCATGACAGAATCCGGTGTTGGTGAATCATGGGGCAAAGAACCTGTCGATACCATCAGTTGACCTTTTTGCTTTGACTGTCAGAACTCCTTATCGAATCAGCTGTCAGAAAAAATGCCAGTTTTCACAGCGTCATATACTAATGGAAGTCTTATATCTTGTTCTTGTTAGACTTTGTTGAATAATAGAGAGGATAAATACTCAGGTTGTTTATGACCCGGCATTAACCTGGGAAAATTCTCTCCACTGAGGCATATTTATTTATAATATTGCGTCTGGAAATCGAGGAAGAATACTGACAACCACTTGAGACCCAATGAAGATTTTTAGCTTATTATCTCAGACTCAAATGTTTATTAATCAGGATCTCGTTTTTATTGATGTAAGGCGGATAACGCTAAAATTAATGAGAAACTTTGTAAAGGGTTATATAAGGGAGTTAAGAGTTACGTGTGAACAGGGATCGCTACCGCCGCGCCACAAGGACAACAAAAGCAATCCTACGCTTTTTTTTTATTCCACACAAAGCCTGTTCATTCGTCTTTGTTAAGCAACGTTTGTATATGGAAGTCTGCGTGCTATATGGACTGATGAGATATACTGTACAGTGTTTCCTAGCTGGACTCGGTAATATACTACTCCGACCACATAGTTGGCATGGGCAATCCCCAATGGAGGTTCAAGTTGCTTAACAAAAGACGAGTGAACAGGCTTTGTGTGGAATAAAAAAAGCCTAGGATTGCTTTTTATTGTCCTTGTGGCGCGGTGGTAGCAATCCCTGTTCACACGCAGAGGTCCAGGGTTCGATTCTCGGCTAGTGAGGTATTGTTTATATATGGATGTCCGCGTGCTATATATATAACTTATTTTTTGTAGGTAAACACAAAGTACAAATTATCTTTTCGCACACACAAGTATACGTTCGAGAACCAGTATCGTGTCAACTGTAAACCTCGACTATAACCCCTTGAAAAAATACTGTACTATATTATTCATAAATTATGTCACAAGAAAGACAACAATGCACCACAGCACTATGCTGCATTCCATGTCCCGAAGAGATCTGATATTATCACTCTCAGACGATTTTATCCAGCATAGAGAGGACCCGTACAAAATTGCTTCAGTATTTTTCAATCCAGGTGTTTACTTACTGTACAGTACTCTACTCACTGTATGTTTAAGTTTAAGGTACCGACTGTTTATCTTATAACTCAGAGTGATGATTGAGTGAACCATAGTGTCTTCACCATAATCACAACAGTTCATCACCCTGAAATACGTTCCTCCTGCATCCATTTTCTCATTTTAAAACGAGCAATAAGTTAATCCGAAACTCTCGTCATTCATATCCATAAGACGGCCATGACTTTTGAGCACTCCCGTGGGTGACGTGTCCGAGCCAGGTGTTATTCAAATATAACAGTTGCCAACACTTAGGACAGTTTGTTTTATAATGACTCCGTAGTGACAACATCTGGATCTACCGCGGCGGGAGACACGAGTAGACAGAGAGCTTTGATTTATATGTTTATATCGTCGTTTTCTTTCCTGTTACTTGAATGTTTATAATTCTTACGTTTCATCAGCATGACCACAGAATCTGAGACAAATAGCCCTGTAATTAATGCGAGTGTTGGTAATGTTTTTAGTTTCGTGTCTTCCATTACGAGATAATCATGTTGGGTCTCTGTATTGATATTGATACTAAAACAGTTTATTTAGCCAGAAGAACACAGATACAGAGTGGATAATAATAACAATATTAACATGGCTGAGCCAGTTGAGAACATGAGCTGTCTTGCAGGCACCAGATATATACTGTACGTTTATCTCAAGGAAGTATTCTGTAACATTAAGTGTCATCTGGAATAGTACACATAGCATGGTGGTGATAAGAACATTTCAGAATGTTACCACGGTTATAAACATCGATATTTATTTTTATATATTTTTATTTTTTTAAATTTATATTATAAGTATATACATACTTTACAGTGGAGTTGATATACATAAATATGATAAGGGAGGGAAGCAGTACAACATGGGTTGTATTAAGATGGAACAAGAGGACAGAGCTGTCAGGATTATGTTTAGTTGGCAAATATATTTATTGCAATGGTAATTTCTATCTATCTACATGATAAGTTTTGATAACACGGTGTTTGGTGGTACAATAAAGGCAGGTATATAAGATAGGTATTATAAAAAAAACATTAACTCTTAGACAACAGATATTTTTTAAGAGATGATTTAAAGGAAGGAAGCGTAGACTTTGCTCGGATGGGTGGAGGTAAGTTGTTCCACACCTTCACACCATGATATTTTATGGAGGTCTGGGACTGAGAGGAACGCATGAGGGGTGGTCTTAGTAGCTCTGGGTGTCTTTAAGTTGTATCTCTGATTATTCCGGAGTTGTAAACAAATAGGGCACAGCAGTAGGTGTTAAAATCCTCGAATTTTAACGTTTTCAATATAGCAAATTGTTCGATAGTGAGATCAGTTTTTTCAAGGAGGTACTACCGCCTGGGAAGATATTGAAA